GAGGAAGAAGAAGAAGAAGAAGAAGAATGAGAAGGAGGAGGAGGAGGAGGAGGAGGAGGAGGAGAAGGAGGAGGAGGAGAGGAGGACGGGGAGGAGGACGGAGAAGATGATGAAGAGGATTTTTTTTTGCCTGGAGAAGGAGAAAGGGGAGAAAGAGAAAGCGAAAGAAGAGGTATATGATTGGGAATTGAGGAGGCCGGAAGAAGAAAAGATCAAAAGACGAAGGAAAGTACTGAGGAAAAAATGGGTGAAGATGTGTAATTTGAAAAGCACAAAAGCTCGTGAAAAGAAAAGGAGAGTGCCCAATTTCGTTGTTTCTAAACGATGCAAACAAACTCATAAAAAGAGGGCGATCGATATTAAGGCTCCTTGTTCAATTAACAATTAAAAACTAAAGAGAAGATCTGAAGCAATGACAGCGGTCTTTTATTTCAGACCCCCGGGAACTTCTTCCAAGTTACGGAATAATATTTGTTTTGCTCCACTGGCAGGAGAATGTTATGATCAACTGAGCACTATGCTTCAAACAATGCCTTGAAGCTACGAACACAGTTTCAAATAATGTTCATTCTTGCGAAACAGTTCCCATTGTCCAAGGGTATGTGCCTGTGTTTGCTGACAAACATTGCCATCGATTTCTTTTTAGTGATAATTGTTGCATTGATTAGTTTGTTTTACACCTTTATCCCGGTCTCTCTCTCTCTCTCTCTCTCTCTTTTCCGTTGTAATTTCCATCCTTCCTCTTTGTATACAGTATTCACTGGCAGCGGTATTCAACCACTAACTATTTCATTGCCCCGCCTCCCCTCCTATTTACACACACACCCCACCCAAAAAACATTAACAAACGAAGTTCATTCAAGCAAACCAATACCGAAGAGACACTATACACAGGTCTACATTTTTGTGTTGTAAATATTATTTGCTAACATCTTTATCCCGCCTAGTAATAGTAAGACAAATGTCCCCGCAAGGACGAGCTAAGTAAGTCTCTATTCTCTTTATATCGGTTGGTGAGACAACGACAAGAGACTGAGCAATGTATGCGTAGTCCATAACTCAACGGAGAGTGTTTTTTTTTAAGTTGGAGTTTCTTTTCCTTTTTTTTCTGTGGCAGATCGAATATTTCTTGAATTTTTCTGATTAAAATTTTAAACATATTTTCTTGTGTTATCTTTTCAGTGACAGACGCCCAGTGAACGGACAGATTAGAGGAAGCAACGATGGAATACCTAGGCCAGACACAGACAGCCACCTACCTGACGGGGCCGCGCCAGATGACGCAGTACACCCAGCTGCCCACCATCGGCACCATGCAGGTACGTACCACAGGTGGACACTGACGACACACGTTTGAGATCTTGCCATGGTTCTGTCTGTTTGTTGGTCTGTTTTTTTGTTTGTGTGTTTATTGGTTTGCTTGTTAGTTTATTTTTTGGTTGGTTGGTTTTTTGTTTGTTCGTTGGTGTGTTTTGCGTGTCTCACTCTGTCTGTCTGTCTGTCTGTCTGTCTGTCTGTCTGTCTGC